CCCCCCCCCCGAGAACGGTGTGCAAAAATGTTCATGCACCCTAGAGGCAGATACACAGTGCTTATGGCTGTCTCTGGTGGTGAAAGCACTAGAAAATATACTAAGTCGTATGCAGGTGTCACCCGAATGCAAGGAAGTAAGCACAAGATGCCGAACACCCTTAGCAGGATGCAGCGCACCCTTCATGCCACTCGCCGAATACCTCACGGCGCTTCGCGCTTGGTGATGTGAGAGCCTGGTTCGGTGAGAACCCGGCGTGCTCCGTCCCGGCTTTGTGGGGATGCGAGGTCCATGGTCTAACGACTACGGCATGCACGACTATCACTTCACCCCCCTCCCCCCGAGAACGTAACCGAATATTTCGGAAGGTAGACGATGAAGACGCCAAGTTCAAATGTGATTCGGCTTCGAGTGCGAAGACCGTGTTCATGTAGTCGCGGAACATCGCTGGTACAAGATGGAGAGTGAAGTGTACATGACAGTTGGGAAAAGTAGGAGAACGGTACACGGAGATGTTTGGGCATGGGATAGCCAGGGAAGACGTTAGTAGTACTGGGGCATCGAAAGGGGGTTGAAAAGGCGGGAAGTGATATAGGTAGAAGTGAAATCGGTAGGATAGATAGACTAGGGAAGACATTTTTGAGTCACCTTTGGCAAAGTAGGAAGGAACGATTGGCCATCGGTGACCGGTCTTGTGGGAACAGTGCTCCGTCCTCTCGAGGACGCGTGGTCAATGACCTAACCGCAAAGGCACGCAAAACGTAAGAGTACGCCCCCCCCCCCGAAAGACACCACGCCATACGTGCGACAGCATTCCCTGATGGGGCGCGGAAGTGAATGTCCTCGTGTTACATTTTGTCGGCGTACAACTCACTCTGCCACGTCGGCATCCACAGGACCAGTGTAGGCATCCATTGCATCTCTCGCCAGTCGGGAGTAGTTCGCAACCTTTTGCGACGCAATGGGGAGGTGTTGCAATTCGCGGGCGGCGTTTTGGCTGGCGTCCTCTGCCGTAACTCGAAAGTGGATTGGTCGGCAGCTACGCGCAACTATGAGTTGTGGTACCTAGCAAAGACGAGCGCGCCCGCAATGCTACGGAGAGCAACGGTGCTTCTCCTTGTACAGAGTAGGCCCACAAAGCACGCCGCTTTCTCACCGACTCAACAGGGCTGCCCTTCGCAAGAGCCCCCATACCAACTGCACACCAAAACGTGCAACAGGAGGGACCCGTCAAGAGCTGATTTCCCGGGGTGATACCGTCCTCGGTGAAGGTGTCGCCGAACTGGCTTTGCTCGGGGGAGTTGTGCCGAGCACCAGGCTGGTGTTGGGCAGTGGAGCGGGCCATCATCCTCACCATCGCTCCACGGATATGACTTGTGGCAACATTCAAGCACACAGGCACCTTGAATCAGGACTTTGACCGTAAGGTTAGGAGCTACCATCGGTCGGAAGGATCGATGCCCTCCTCGACAATTCCTTCGCAACTTACACACGGAAAATATGGGATGCTTTTAGGTGCGCCAGTGGGGTGCAGGTTTCCCTTGTTGTGTGTATCATGAAAGCTCTGTTCGCACCTTCGAGAGGTGAACGGCATGAAGCCAACGCAGCCGAAGAAGTCACTCAGGAATGCGTTCTCTTGCATTCCCACAAGCCCGGTCGCCGGAGATGCACTCAACTTCAACCTGGTACGGGAGAAAGTGCGTTTGACGTGGTAAGATGGTGAAAAATCTCTCCCCCAATAGCACGTAAGACCTCTAAGCGTCCTGACGACCGTTTGCCCTCCTTATACCTAAGGCTTCGATGTTCCCCACGTCCAACACGAACTTAGAGGTGCTGATCGATGGTGAAGCGCTAGTGTGGCTTGCACCTACGGGCAGCAATATCAGCACGGCTTCATCTTCTTCATCCCTCACCCACGGTTTGTGGATACTACTGTAAATGGTTGGGTAAAAATTGGTATACGAGACAAGGAATGCGATGGCGTACGCACAGCTGCTATGACACAAGCCGAACCTCACCGTTTGTGTTTCGATTGTAGTATACATGAAAGACGACTGACCTCTTCAGGGGCAGCATACCGCCGGGCAGGAGTGTGCCGGATGCCGAGGGGCGGAACATGTCCGCCGTCTGCACTCCAGCGGGACCACGTGGACGGCGCTGGTGCTGGCGCCCAAGCTGAGGCTGATGCGGCTTCCGCTTGCTGTAGGTGCATCGAACCCCAGCTCGCAGGCACCGGCTACAGATTGCGCACACGAGAGGGGTCATCGTCTTGTTTCACCCTGGTGCACGTGAGGTGTAGCTATGGATAACCGTTGGTGCGTGGGGCTCATTTCACGCAGGCACACTGGGTGGGGCTCGTTTCACGGAACCCTGAAGATCTCGACGAGATCGGATTCCTCCAACAAGAGACTGCCGTATAAGCCCAACCGCTGCTCTGCGACAACCAATGCACTTTTCGTGCCCAAACGTGTTGGCCTTCCAACTCTAGTCTACTGAAGTCAATCCCGTGCGTGATCAGCTGTGTGAGTGGTAGGGATCATTGAGTTGGACAAAAACCAGTCAAAAAAAAAAGATCGATTTGAGACGGAGCATCACGAACGTCCGACGGCATCAACTGGTTAGCTAAAGGTTCCTGTGAATACACCACATCACACCTGCAAGGCATCAGGCCATCGCACTTTCTTTTCTTTCGCCCACATGCACCGCAGCTCTTGCGCATCCCAAGATTATTCGTAGCCACGTTTCCGTCTTTCCTGTAGCCGGAACTCATGGTCGAAGTCTCCACCTCGTGTCCCGTTTTTCTGCGTACATGTTGAACAGGATTTGTCAGCAGTTTGTTCGTCGTTCAGTTGCAGCTAACATTGCGACGGTCGCTCAAGCGCATATTTATAGTTTTGTTTTGCGAGAAGAGTGGCCTGTATAGGGTTGCGCTTTTGTTTTGCAAAAAAATCTGTTTAGAGGTATCGTGTGCATGATGTGTATGCGCGGAAAAACAGAACAATCAGGTGCCGAGGGGGGGGCAAAAGACGTCATGCCTGTCTGGCTGAGTTGCCTAAATATGCCAGCATACTGAAGCCCATGTCACCATCTAGCCACCAAAATGCAATCTAAGACTTGCGCACAACAAGTAATACTTTGCCCGAGCTGTCCCAACTGCTACCTTTTCATTCCGTGGTCAGTGCGTCGAGATAGCACAGCACCTGTGTAGAATATACACGTCGCATTCAGGCGTCCCCGACTTGGAGGAGGAGGCTTGATTGACATACGTAGGCTCACGCAGCAAGACACCATCCTCCGGAGCCAGACAAAGAATCATGAGCCAGACAGGGGGGAAGGAGACATACACACCACACAGCGAAAGGGCGAGCGGCGGAAGCAGGGTTGCCCTACTACCACTGCTGTTTGCTATCGGCGGAGGAAGCGAGAGAAGAGATACACGTTTGGTTTTGATTTGGGTATCGGGCAAAAGTCTAGACTGCTGTGTTCGGGACGGTTAGGCACGCAGCACGCAAAGACACCACGCACACACAGCCAGACATAGACAAAGGAGGAGGGAGACGCACTACACACCGCGAGGGCGAGACGGCGGGAGCAGGGTGTGACCTATTCTGCTGTTACCTATCGGCGGAGGAGGCGAAAGGATCGATGCGCGTTTGGTTTGGTCTTTTTTCGGTCGGTCCCCGCTTCTTGTTTTTAGCAGTGAGCGGCGGGAGTTGGTCGCAGCGCCAGGCGAAATTTTTGGTGGTGGTTCCATTTGAGCGTTGAGCTTTTTCTTTGCACGATGTGCCTCTGAACACAAAACAAGGCGCCACGCCCATCCCCTTAGATATTGTCCCACACTAGCGCCCTCGCCAGGTCACGGTACAATCCAGCATGACACGGGGACGTTTTCCACAAATCTCGATGCTGTGCATGCTTGTCTCGCTGCACAACGTTTTTCGGATTGTTTCCTTCCTGCCGCCCGCATTTTTGGGTCTTTCGTCTTTCTGGGCATTCGTCTGTGGGCCGCGTTTCCGGGCGGAGTGTGCGGGCCGCATGTATTTGAGATGCGGCCCACATTATTCATGCTAATGATGAACACCACCCCACTCTCTGTATCAAATGACGCCCCCACAACTCAATACTGCTGCTGCTGCTGTGTGGTGAATGAGCCAATGGTAACAACGCATCTAACAAAAACGCACGAGCCTACTGCAAGTACTTTTCGTTTTCTCAAAAACAAAAGAAACCTAGTATGACGCCTCCCTCTCTTGTAGGGTGATGCTTCAGGGTATGCGCAGTGGAGGAACGGACTACATACAACAGTTTATACCTCGGAGTGAACGAAGAGTTGGGGGTGCGAGACGAGAGAAATGTGCCACCAACCGGTGAAGCAGGCCCTGCGCTACAGCAGTAGGGTGCATGCGCATGTATGTACTGCTGTAGATAGGAGCCACCCGAGATCCCGGGATACTGCTGTAGTCTAGACTACAACTGCTGTAGAAGCTCACTCGCGTTGTATCTACATACGCTTGGATACAAAGAAGCAGCCGCATGGACTAACCTGAGGTAGAGCTGGAGACAATGTGGTGAAGTCCTTTGCTGAAGGTGCAGTGAGGACGGCCCAAGGCCCACGACGGGACTTGGGGGGAAAGTGTTCCTGTTGTGCCAACGTCCTACAGCGAGGTTCAGCGGCGACCAAAAAATCAGATGTCCCAATTTTTTGTAGGACCTCCCCCCTCCTCTCTTGCACGACTCTTCGGTACAGGTGATCTGAAAACCGTCCGGTGTCGTCGTGTACGAACCTTCTCCTCAGCACGCAGAAAAACACCTGGCATGTCGCAGTGTTCGGATTTTCGGTGGGGCGCTGGCTGTACTCACCAGCTCGTACTCACAAGGGTGCGGGCGTTTTGCGGGGAATTACGTCGTGACGTCGTGACGTCGTGACGTCATGACGCCATCACGAACCGAGGTTCAGTTTGGGAGCTACAATCAGAACCAAACCCAACGGCTGGACATGCTGTGCTGGACTCGCGCGCTGGTGCGCTGAAGACCCGGACTGGACCTGCGCTGGAGGCAGGACGATGGGCGACTGGACGGCTCAAGAGACTCCCTGTGCCTGGGACGTGGTTCGCGGGATTCCTACAGTCCGCCACGGCGAGACGCTTGTGTGTTGGAGACGACGGTACATCCTGTAAAACGTAAAACTACAACCGACCTTGTGTGCGTGTGGGAGACCGAACAGACAACGACCACCTCGTACGGACACATACCCCGATACAGCTGGCGCCCGCACTTAAGAACCTCTCTGTACCCGGAGCATCTGTATCCCCCGCATATCCGCACATACATCCAGGCCAGCTATCGAAAACAGCAGAAGCCGAGTTTAGTACGACCTGCACCGTGGGTAAAGTGTCATGCGCCATGTGCTCTTCGTACAACGAGCGGGTTGTGTTGTTGCATGGGTTCAAGCATATACCGGCTGCTCGCTGAGAGATCGACATTGCGGAGATGTTGTAGCTTTTGCTGCAGACACACGACCCGTATTAATTACTCCATGCACATATTGCGTGCCGACCGTCACACAGCCGGGAGCTGACGGTCGCATGGCTCACACGCTTGGAGGTCGTATCACCAATTTTTCGAAGGGATCTTCACGGGGGTGTTTGGTTCCGGAGGGTTATTATTCTGGTTCTGCTTCTGTGCTGCTCAGCTGGGGGGTGCTGCTGGGCGGAGCGCGCGCGTTGTTCTGGTCTGTCTGTTGTGGCTGCACTCGAGAGGGCGAGAAGGGATGAAGTTCCACAGCGAGGCCTCCTTACCCTCCTCCCCTCCTCGCGGCACGTAACCTATTGCCATCAATTTGCCATCAATGTCTTCGCCTGGCGCGAGTCCTGGCTGCTTCCAGCGATAAATAAATAAATATGGACCAACATTCAAACTTCCGGCCGTCGACAAGCTAGGTCAGGTCCAACAGCGAACCTAGCGAGAACTACTGCTGTACATAGCGATTAACACCGAGGGTGCAACAATGCAACAATCTGAGCCGCTGCCCCGCTGAGCTGGCCCCGCTACCAAAATCTGGATGTTGGTAGTTGTTGGTTGATGCGTGGCAGATCTCCGTGAGGTTATCTCTAGTCTACACAGTAGATTATTTTAGAGATTCAAACCTGCACATTAAAAAAAACACGCACAGTAGTAGCAAGCAAGCGTAGCCACGAGGAGCCTTGACCGTCTGCTGCTGTACGCTCCCTGTACAGCGATAGTGTTAAAGCATCGAAAGTTGTTTGCTGCTTTGTCCTGAATCCGATATCGGACTACGCTGCCAACAGAGGCGAACTTTCTTCACGTGTGGTTCGGCAGGAGGTGTCGCACTACTACGAAGCTTAGCTATGTTGTAGCTATGTTGATACCAGCGGCGGTGCGTGCTGGCGGTGCATGCCGTTTATCACGGTCAGGTATCTTAAAGTAGTGTTGTAGGGTGCTGTAGGGTCAAGTCGCTTACTGCCCATGGCTGTGTGGGGTCCGAGACACAAATTGAGGGTGTTGGAAGCTGAGAGTGAGAGGGAGAGAGAGAGGGAGAGAGAGGGAGAGCAAGGCAGAGATGAGACAGAAGTTTCGACCCGTTGCCCTTTGTAGAGGGCAGGGTAAGGAACGATGTACCCCTCAAAGAACAGGACCCACGCCAGTCACCCTTTCCTGCTGCAGATATTGGACTGAGGGATCTTCATGACTTAAACAGTACATACAATCTTTCGACGCAGCGGCGGAACCAGAGCAGGGCGATCGAGGCTTGCTGCACAGGAATCAAACGTTGACTGTTCGACAATCCCATCACCCCACTCTACCGCGGGAACACTACTGTAGGGAACAGTAGGGGTTGATGGAAGCAGCACGCTGGAGCAAGAGCATCATGTCAGACAGAGCAAGATTAAGATAAGCAAGGAAACTTCGCCACGAAACAAGCGCGGTGTACATAGTACATAGAGATACGGACGACCCACTCGTCAACTCTGTAGCTTTTCCTCACGGATACCTGGAGTCTAAAAAGAATTTGCATCACCATGTACCCTAGCCTAGAAATCCGTGAGCGTGAGTCGCGTGCCACCGATTCGCGATCAACCACAACACAACACAGTAGACCCGAAAACAAAAACAAATTGCAACCACGGTGCGTTTTGTAGCCAGCACGGTGGAAGAGTCCACGGCCCCAACGACAACCCCAACGGCGTACTTGCCTTACAAAAAGAGCCATTTCAAAAAGGCTATATCTACCCCAAGAACGTCAAAATCACGCGGCCGACTTGATCGAAAGATCGCATGAAAGGGTCCTTGCAGAAGCACAGGCCGCAAAACCAAACTTCTACCATGCAAACTTTCAGCCGGTCGCTGCTGTGACCCAGAACGCGCTGGACCAAACCCGCCACGGTTTTGCGATTGATCGCCTCGTTCTCGGTCTCATTGATGAGAACAACCATGAACGCGAAGCGATCGAATTTCATGACATTCAGCATGTGCAGAATTTTTTTCTTTTTCGCGTGGTTGTGCTCGTGTACCGTTAGACAGACTCCAGACAACTGTTTACAGGAGTCAATCCAACCGTACGACTGGCGGCAATCTATACCGTGGTTGCAGTCGTGCAGGGTGTCTGGCGCATAGTTTGGCCCTGCATCACTCCCCCATGGGTGTCTTCGACGCTTCGTCGCACCGGGTTCCTCCGCGGGAGGTGTTACGTTGAACCAGCGGCCAAACTCTTCCACGAACCCATTGTTAGCGCTCTTCTGGGGATTCATGAAACCCAGCTGGATTTGAAGAGCCTTGGCACGCGCATTCGCCGCTCCAAAGCATGCCCCGGACCGCACAGCCAACACTGTAAACGGAGATCGTACATCGAGCCCGGGAAGGAT